ATAGTGCAGGAAAATATATTCAATATCTTGTAGTAGCTTATGGTGAAAGAATATGAAAGTGAATACGTGTATATTCATGTATGAGTGAAGAGTTGTGCTGTACACCAGAAATTAACAGAACATTGTAAACTGACTATAATTCAATAAAAAAATCATTATTTTACAACAACAAATCTTGACTTTTTTTTCTTTCTTTTTTTGTTAGGGGGAGGTAATTAGATTTATTTATTTCTTTCTTTATGTAATGGAGGTACTAGGGATTGAACCTAGGACCTCGTGCATGCTAAAGCATGCAGTTCTACCACTGAGCTCTAATCTCCCTCCTTGACATTTAATATCTACAAAATTGCACCTGAAAAAATGCATTTGATAGGAGTAAGTCATAAAAAATTTATAATGTTGATGCTGATAATGGGTAAAATTATATCTAGGGGGAAAAATGTTAATGTATCAAATATTCATTAAACTGAATCAATTAACTAAATTGATTAAAACAATATTTAGTAAATTGAAAACAAAAATTGGAAATGAATTACATTATATAAAAATTAAGCTAATTGTTTTATCAAATTGTTTGCTCCAGAGAATAATTTCTGAATGAAATTCATCAGTGTTAATTATATTCCTAAACAGTGGAATTAAAATGACTGGAGATCACAGTAAGGTCTCTCTTTTCAGCAGCCTAGAATTACTGATTTGGATTTATAAATTAAATCTCTAAAAAAATCTGATAAAAATGGTATGACACCTTTATTTGAGGTTATAAGTCAAATTTCTGTGTTTAGTTTTGCTAGTATAAAGGGATGCTTTGTAATTTAACATTTTTGTGTGTCCTAGGTATGTTTCTATAAAACCTGATAACCGAAAACTGGCCAATGGAACTAATGTCCTCGGCTTACTGATCGACACTTTATTAATGGAAGGCTTCCGTCTGGTCAGCACCAGAACAGTATCCTCTGAAGACAAAACTGAATGTTATAGCTTTGAAAGGATAAAAAAGGCTGAAGCTCTTGCCATGAACAAAACACTGAAACCAGAGACAACCTTCATGCCAGAGCAATCTCAGAAAAAGAAATGAGGTTCTCTGTTCTCTTTTAGAGTAAAAGGAAATTGCCGTTTTGTTGTTTGGAAATTCCATTTTAGGGCATATATGTTAGTTAAATACGTACTCAGCCTAACTTTTTGGCCTTGTCTTCTACCATGCCATCTTTGGGCAACCACAACTTCAACAATGCTTAAGCCACACTAACTGCTTGCTGCTCTTTAAACAACACCGTGCACTTGGTGCTTTGGCATATGTTCCTTCTACCTTCAATGCCTCTTTCTCTTTCTCTTCTTCATAAGCACTTATAAAGCATTCAAGAATGGGCTATGAAATCAGACTGCTTGATTTCTAATCCCAGTTCAATCACTTACTAGCTGTATGACTTCAGCAAGTCATTTAACCTCTCTGTGCCTCAACTTTTTCACCTATCAAATGAGGATAATAAATATATCTCCCTTATAGGAATATGTGAGGATTAAAGGATATAAAGTACTCAGCACGTTGCCTGGCACACGGTAGGCACTCAGTAACTGTCTGACGAAGATGATGAAGGAGGGTGGCCCACTTTCAATTGCGCCTCTCTTGTGGTCTTGTTTTCCTCCTTTCCTAGGCATATTAGTCAGCTCTTTCCTCTATAAAGATGTATATGCCACCATAAAAACGCAGTTTTCTCACTTGATGTGAGTTCGATCCACTCAACAGTTCTAACTGCTCTGTGTAAAGCACTGTGCTGAACACTTGGTGAGAGAAATAATACTTTTGTTACCAATTAGCATCTACTTTGGTGAAAAGCTTTTGAATAACTTGTACTGACATTTAAAATACACATTTTACTTTGACTTAGTGAGTCCTCTTGTAGGAATTCCTTATACATGTGTCATTTAAAACATCAGGATATTCCTAGTACCTCCTCCAAACATAAATAAATGAATAAACCTAACTATCTCCCCCTCATAAAACAAGCAAACAAACAAACAATAAATAAAACATTAGGATAAACATGTAGAAAGGGAATCATTAAGTCAAAGAGCACCAAATACTCTGCATATTGTAGGGTTAAAAAATGTTGAGTGGAAACAGTCGAGAATCATTTTAAAAAGTATAATTCATTCATTCAAAAACATATGTTAAACATTTGTTGGACACTATACTAAGCTTGCAGAATTAAAATATGAGTAAGACAAAAAAAGTTGTAGGGAAGAAAGATTTAAAAAAAATTTTCTAATAGTACCTCAAAAGGTTATATATAATGGAAAAGTGCAAAATATTTCAATTTAATAATGTTAAGGTTAGTAACTGAAAATAATGACCCAGACAAGAAAAAAAGCCTACAAACGAGTATTTTGTTTTTGGTGGCACTCATCCTCTCTTTACCACAGAAAAGCCAACTTAGTTGTTTTAGTCTGTCACCTTAGTTTTGGGGATGATGTGTTTGGTCTCGTTCCATTGCTAGCATCATATTCTAGGGTACAATATTTCTGTTCTGCTAAGTTTTTGGCATGTTTGTGATTTAACTAGCCAGATATAGTTGGCCTGGTTATATATGTAACACTGTTTAACTCTGTATAGTGCTTTGCTGATAAGATTATTAAAAACTGATAACTGGTTAAAATAATACTGAAATAAAAAATGTTGTAACTATAGATTGCCAGGGAATAGGACAGGAAATGTTTAAACTGATATTAATGTGTTCTTAGACATTCATATTTGCCAGATACTAGTTTAAGATGAGAAATAAAATGTTCTTTTTAATGTGCTCCTAGAAACATTACCTAGGGAAATATGTAATATACATAAACTTAATTAATTAATTATGGACGTTTGTGTACCAATACTATTCTAGACATGAGAGACACAGCAAGGAACAAAACAAGGCCTTCCTTTCTGGAGCTTACTACAAATACAATTCATAACATTGACAATGTGTTTAAATTAAAATAACTTAAGCCTTTAATTAAACAGTTTCTGAGAAGTCATGGGTTCACAATGGAGAGGTTTCTGCAAGGAGATGGGTTACCAAAATTAAAAATATATATATTATTCATTAGAAAATGTGTGCTTTCAGAGTGGATTGAGTTTCTTATTTCAGTAAATATTTTCAAGATTATCTCATCTGGAGACACATCTGTCAAGAACATCTCAGTAAGCCTCTTGAATTCACTCCAAAATAGAATGGGACACTGTAACTGGAATATCAATACATGCAAAAAATTGAGTCTTGTTTTAGAAAGGGAGGCAGGCAAATGTAGTTGGAAGAAAACAGGGGTATGTCAGATTCACTGCAGGCAAATCAAAACCTTTGCCTGCTTTAGAAAAAAAGCATTTAACATTTTCATATGGGTACCACTTAACTCTTAACTTCTTGACTGAATTGATTTTATGAAAATTATAAGAAAATAATGGCAGGAGCTTGCCTTGGCCAACCACGCTTAAAACTTTGATCTATCAAATCATATACTCCTATCAATCCATCTCATATACACAGGTATGAATCATCACAAAGCAGGCTAGATTTGTCGGTCTTAATGATACTATCAATAGTTGGGCCTCTCCTGTTCCCCCATGTATGTTTGTTTCAGTCTCTTTCCATCACCTATAGTCTCATTTCTGATAAGGGCATTAAAGATTTTAGTTTATTCTTAAACATCAATAATTTAACCTTGTAAGTGATTGGAAGTTCTCCATACAGAGATTCTCTGAAAAGGAGCTCTAGTATTGATTACTCCTGAATTTAATAAACAAGTCATAATTACAAAGAATTTTTAGGTTATGTTAACATCAAAAATAATCTGGGCTTCTTTCAAAATATATCTGCAGTCAGGAGCCTGAAGTAGTATAAAATAGTCAAGGAAAAGTAGCTTGAGAAATATATGGTTTAGGGAATCATAAATTGTTTCTAATTTTTCTTGTATACTGTTTACATCTGACAAACCTTGGCTTCATTTTACAAGTCTTTGTATTTGTTCTCTACCATAAATAACAGAAATGGTCACATTACCAGAGACCTCATTAGAATAATAAAAGATTTGCTAAGACTTCTAAGTCTCCCATATTCTACTGTTATTTTCCCCTTTGTGCTGGGGAAGTTTACTCTGTAAAAGCATATTTAGCAATGCGGAAGTCACTAAGAGGAAATTTCTTAAAAGAAATTTGGGAAATTTTATTATCTTCCTGGAGCCAGTGAACCTATGGAAAATAGCAGGATGACATCACATTTAGTGTTTTAAACAAAAGTTCAAGAAATAAAGACATGAGATGAAAATATATTACCCCAAATACTTAGATTTTCGGAATATCACCAACATCATAAAACCATACTTACTCACCAGCTTTGCCACAGAACTACACTTCATGAATTATTAGGCCTTCTATTGACTCTATTAAAGATGAAAAGTTATGTACAAGTTTCACCAAAGAGTCTTCATCTCATAATTATTAGGCTTAGAAAATGCCTTAATATTTATCTAAACTATGAGATAGATCCAGCCCCGAAAGTATTTTAATAGATAAAAAGCTGACACCATACATGGTAAATGGGAAATGAGTGTTAAGCATGTTACAGAATGAAAAGGGAACAAAATACAGCAAAATAAGTAAGACTTTGCTCCCCACACTGAAATGTGCCTAAGACTTATCATACAGAGCTTTCTGTACCTTCAGACTTTACACCAGCACCTCCAATCCAGAAATCATTGCTTTAAAGTGGCTTTCTTACTCTATTAGTTGAGTAAAAGACACCAACTACCAAATGTTTCTATTTCATGCTACTTTCCTCATTTCACACTCTGGTAAGAATTTGAATTTCTTTGGGTGCCCAAGTTGGAAGCCAGATAGGAGAGTTTTGTCTTACCCTTCATGTAGTAAGAGACCCCAAGAAAGTATGGCTGCAATGTCTGAGGTTCCATGAGTTCTTTTAAGATGAGGACTGTGGCTGTGCTTTATACTTTATATTTCCCCCCAGTGCTGGACATGTAACGGTCTTAATTAAATGGAACTGAAAAATTTGGAATACTGTAGTCTCAGTGAATGGGCACTCAGAAAAACAAGAATTACAGTAGATTCAAAGATAGATGAGGATACTTTATATAAAGAGTCTGAAAGAGTTGAGTCAGTTTAAAGACTACAGAAGAAAAACCCATGGTATTTTTCCATTAGAAGCTTTGTGAGTAATCATACACAAAATGAGATGAAAGTATAGATGTCTACAGAAATATTAACTAGTTGAAAGTTATGTAAAATTATACATTTAATCAGAGTAAAACAGCGCAGCCAAAACTGGAATATACTATAATTTTCTAATTAAAATGCAGTGCTACAAGAGTGCTTAGTAATTAAAGAAATATTAAGTGAATACAAATTCAGAATGAATGTTACATGACTATAACCAATATTAAATCTTGACTTACCTCCATAATTTAGGAGTCATGAAAAGATAGTAGAAGTCATCAGACCAGGCATATGAGTCAGATGTAACTAGGATGAAAATACAGAAAAAATGTTCCCACTTTTGAGTAAACTGACTTGAAGATATAGGTACACTGAATCTGGATACACTGAATCTGGATTAATCAAATGGTTCAAGGATTTAGGTAAAATGTTCTAAAAGATCCTGTTATATTCAGAGAGTAATTTAACATATTACTGAGTTATATAAAGGTTATTTACAAGAATAGGTTAACATTTTATGTTTTCTTGCATATTGTTAAAGTAGAACATATGAAAAATTAATAATGTAGAGTAATATTTCTGCCTCATGATAGGCATGTAATAACTAGGTAAACAGACCGAGATACTCTGACTTTCTAAATAGGAATCCTATACAAGAAGGTTTAGCACCTAAAAAACCAAAATGTTTGCTTTCAATTCATTAAAAAAAATTTTTTTTTTTGCCTTGGTCAGTTTTTAAACCTCTGGCTACAATTTAAGCAGTACTGAATTCCTGTTTGACTTTTTTTTTTTTGGCTGACACTTCCTCAGTAGCAAACCCAATTTAGGGTGAGAAGGAGAAAAAGTTTTAGACCTCTTAGAACGTTCATTTCCTCTTAACTGTGTTTCTCCATCAGAAACATGTATTCAAATAAGAAATCTCAATTATCTAAACCTATTTTTGGCCATCTTCCGGAATTTCTTGTTATATCTCCTTTGAAATGCCACAGTTGCACTCTCGGAAAACTTGTCTTCCTGGTTTTCAAATTTCTGTTTATTATTACAACTCTTCAGCCAGAATGCCAGGTCTTTGTGCTGTACTGTTTCTTGAAACTAGAGACTAGCACATTTCCCACAATTCAATTACTTGTCTTTCCATTTGAGAAATTAAAGCCACATCAGTTTTACAAAGTTTTAACTGACTGAATTATTTGGACGTTAAGTTCTCAATTTCATTCCCTCAGTGTAATACTGGGAAAGATTTTTGTTTAATTAATAGAAGCAAAGGTAAGGTTCAAGAATATTAACACATTTAGTCATTCACCCTCATAACTGATAAAAATGTAGGGATTTTCTTACAAGCATAAGCTTGAGATATGACACTCTAAGGAAAAAAATAGGAGGTTTAATTCAATTTTGGAAATGTTTATTTAAGATTACATACCCAATCAAATATTTTTTAACATAAATGTATGTGTTTATATATTTCTTTCTAAAAGAAAGGGACACATTGTCCTCAATCATTTCAGTTAGCTTGTCTGCCCTTGTTAGCTTTAAGTGGCTAACGAACAAAATCACCTCTCCAGACTGATTTTACATGGAATTCCAGTTCTGTATATTCAGTGACTTTTAATTAAAGCATTTCAAAAGGAATGTCTGGATATCATCTTAAATTAAATATTACAAAAATGGGACTCAATATCTTTCCTTCTCAAACAAGCTTCTCTTAACTGTCCCCTTTCAATGATATTATCATTGTCTTCTAGTATAGGAAATGTATAATTTTTGACATTTCTCTTTTATCCAATTCATCATGATGTGCTACAATTTTTCCTTTGGAATATTTTAAATTTATTCTCTCATATCCATTCTCATTGCTACTATTCTGTTCAGGTTGTCTTCACTCCTAGATTACTCCTAGATAGTCACATGCCTAGTTTCCTTGACAATAGACTTTATTTCTTAGAATCCTTCTCTATATATTATAGTATTGCCACATTTAATTTCCAAAAATTCCATCACTTTGTAAATTTTCATTATTTTGTTTCAAGAGGCTATAATGCCTCCCTATTCCTTGCTATATTAAGACTAAAGTCCTCTAATTGGTAGAATTTCTAAGCAAAGGCCCAATAACTTAGTTCTATTCTAGTTATCTAAATTCACGTACCCTTTGCCTCAGGTCTTAAGGTAAAGGTCCCAAGTTACTTTTGGGGGAATCCTGCATTCTATTTTGGCTTAAATTCTCACCCGTAAGTCAGAAAAGTCCACTACTTTACACTAGGTATATCTTAATTTATAAGCATACAGCCCGCAAATTACAAAATGAAGACTTTTAAAAACTGAGTCAGCAAAGACAACTGTCTAATCCCCCTGCAATTCCCCAAATTTACTTACAGTCTTGTACTGAGGAGATCACCTCATGGGGCATTTATTGCCCTTTACTAGAGTGAGCTGTTGTTGGCACTTTGCTCTGTACAATGTCTGCTTCTACTTCCAGTCTCCAGCCTCAGTCCTTTCCATGGTCTAGGTATCCATGGTACAGTCAGTTCTCACATTTTTTGTGGGGACAGTGGTGATGTCAAAATAAATGCCTAGAAAACAGGTCATAAAGCAAATCAGTATAGAGGGGAAACTGCTGTGCCACGGGAACCATTCTTTAATTGCTGGTTGAATTCCTGATTTCTGGCTAAATGCTAAATATAACAAATATGTCAACTCCCTCAAAGCCAAATCAAACCCTACAGCAACAATAGACTTTTCAGCAACTGTAATGTATATATAGGTTCTGGAAATCAGACATAAATTTCCTATAGATGTTATATAAAAGCTCTAAGGGTAAATAAAAAATAAATCCATATCACATTATAAATATGACTAGAATGTCACAGCAGAAAACAGATGCTACATATTTGATACACAATTTTCTTTGCATTCTTAGATTTCCGACAGCTTTTTGGTGTGACTTGGATAGTCTCTTGTAAAATTGTCCAAGAAAGTTTATGAGAAAATCCATTTCACTCAATAAGGTAGCTCTCGTAAGCAGAATGATTCAAAAGCATACCATTAACTTTAGAGAGTTAAAGAACTGCAGCAGATGCTCAACATGTTTATTTTTGTGATTATGGTAATGGTGTTTCTTAAAAGGTACGTTTTAATGTAAGGACTTTTCATTCTACTACCATCTCCCATTTCCTCAAAGAAACAACAAATAGAAGCCAGTAGAAAAGTTAAATTATACTTTGTTGAAAAGCTTTTAAATGGTCAATTAGATCACTAATGGTCCTCAAAGCAATATCAAAATTTCACAGGCGTTCCAATTATTCATACCCCCACCCACAAGTTTCTGGTTTCGATTACAAATCTTTTAAAAAGACATTTTAAGGTAGCTAAGACTGGAGGCATGAATATTAATTGGTAACACAAAATGAGAGAAGTCCTGGTAAGTGAAATAGTAAAAGATGGAGAATTTCTAAATTACCAGGAAAGAGCCTGGGCATTTCTATATTTATCTAGCTGGTATTCAGATTTTCCAGAACATATTAATTTATCACCAGGGTATTAGTGCTGATTTTCAGCAATCAATTGTCATTTATCAAGCACTCTCTTGTTAGGCTTGCAGCGTATGAAATCAAAAATAAGATAGCCTCTGTCCATAAAGCAGGATGTTCTAAGTCAAGTATAGGAGCACGAAAGATAAAAATGGTATTTCTGGCTGAGGAGGCAAAGTGAACTGGGGAAACTTCATGCAGGGAGTAGATAGCCTAGGAAGATTTAGACTGCTGATGATGAGGCAAAGAACATTCTGGGAATAAATAATTTGAGCTAAGCCTTGGATGCAAATTAGTAAGAGGTTTGGAAAATGAATATATTATTTCTATTTGGCTTAATGACAGTCCTTAGGTATTAATTCACAATCATTCCCATAGTGGTAAGGTCAGTCTCAACCTGGGCAAACAACATCTCGGAAAATAGACTTTTGGCTATGCAACCCCTTCCTCTCAAGATTTCTCACTTGATTGCTGAGTTAAAGGCCAAAGATTTCCTAATGTTTAGCTTAGATTTCCTTCCAATATTTCTTACAAATTATATTTTTTTCTTCAAATCATCACATCTTGGCTTTCGAAGGGCAGTAGACAATCAGAATATATTCTTGTTTTCTTCAATCAGAAATTAGGGCACCTTATGCAAAGGAAGGAAAACAATCTCAAAGATGGTTACACTCCTTTCGTTACCTATTATCCAATACCAATCTGTTTTCAACACTAGTATTTCTGCTTAACTCCTTCCTACTTGACCATGCCTTGGTTCATGTTTTCTGCATTCTTAAGTCTCAGATTCCTTCATTTCACTGAATTAATTCTATCCTTTCTTTAAGCCCAGCTCATTTTCTACCTCTTCTAAGAAGTCTTCTGTGTTGAGTCTAAATCCACACTTCCTTTGAGCTTCAACTGCACTTCTAGTCAGAAAGACAGACTACACTTCACTCTTTTCTAGATAGTAGTTTCTTGTAAGTTAGTATATTCCCATCTAGGCTAAAGTTCTTTGCTGACAGGGGCCATCTTTTTTAGACTACAGTGAAATGCCGGGCATAGAATAGGCCCTTATTAAAAAGATGATCTCACTTGAAAAATGCAAACAAGATTTGTAAGGTATTTGAAGTAGTATTTTGATAACTATTTTTGATGAGATGAAATTATACTCACTTACAGAAATTGAAACCTCAAGTTATCACCAAGTCAGATTTTCACACTATTCAAAATAGACTTGCATATGAATGACTGTCCTACTCTACCACATGTACGTAACATAACCATGATCAAAACCAATGTCCATTCTTGATAATCTAATCCCTTCTCATCCAATTTCTGGCAGTGGGAGAGATTTACAAATTCATGGCCTTGCTTACAACCAACAGACTATAACTGGAAGGTTTTTATTCAAATCCTTAAAGTTTACACTTTTCAAGTGTATTGTCAAATCATGAATACAATGTAATTTTGTTCAGTTTGAAATAAAGTGAAATTTTTCTTAAAGGAAACAAATTCTTCAAATTAAATTGTTAGTTAACTTAAATTTGTCTCTTGCACTCTACTTCAGGAAAGAAGAAGTCAATTAAAAAATTGTAATCAAGATTCTCTGGATTTTATGGCTTAAAACACACTGAACACAACTCTTAAAAATTCTATACCTATTACATTATGCTGTGTTATATAATATTTTTTATGACTTGATAATAAGATCCTTACATAAAATTTAACAATATTCAGCATACTGCTTAAAAAATACACTAAAATATTTTAATTTTTATTAATGTTTTAGAAAATATTGAAAGAAGGTTTAAGATCATTGTCAACATCAGTTAACTAAATCATCTAGTACATTGTTCCACTAATTCAATGAAATGCTTTATCTGATAAACATTTAAAAATTTACTTTTCACTCACAGTGAGTGCCTCTCCTTCTCCAAGTTCCTGTGGATTGTTTTTCTTTTTATTGACCATTTCTTTATACCATCACAGTGATGGTCAGACAAAAAGGATAGGAAAAACAAATCTAAAGATTTTTTCTAGAATGGAAAACTTAAGTATACAATATCCCAAATTCTAATGTGATAATTGAGGTTTCCACATACACTTTTTCCTTTGCTTTTATGGGTATCAGTGTAAAGAATTATTCATAAAATGAATATACTAGAGGCTGACTCTGTTCTTGGATTATAAAAATTTGGGACAAGACATATCCAAGTTCAACCTCTTATAATTTAAAACTGAGGCTTGGAGAGAAACAGGAACTTGCTTAAGGTCACACAACCATAAGCTGAGTCTATTTTTAAATATTTGAATATGACCACATTTAACTTCTTTAGGATAAACAGTTTAAGCTATTTACATTGTCATTCCTCTGGCAAAGTAACCAAGCTACCTAAACATTTCTTTAAGATAATATTCACAAATATGAATTTTATTATACTGCATTATAGCCTTTCATTCTGTTTCATCTTATGGTCTTCCAAACCAGTGGGAAAGCTTTAGCTTCTCTTAAATGCTCAATTGTCATCTTAATAAAATGCATTTTGGTGACATTGGAGAGACTAGTATCACAGGCAAGTGCCTCTGAACAAAGTAACTTGTTGGATGAATGAATAGTGGTACACACATTACTGAATGAGAATCGAATGCTGGAAGTTTCATTGTCTGAGACGTCAAAACTGAGGACAAAATAGAAAATAACTCATGTCTAGAAACATCAAATTAACTAAGGGACATTATTATTACTTGATTTTTTCTACATGATTCATAATTTTTGTATGAATACTTGAAGGAATCCTAATCCTAAATTACTTCTTTAGATATGTCTATATTAGAGCAACTTCTTTTCCCAAGGAGCAGTTCTAACAGAACCGAAAACATAGTCTAAAACATTTAATCTAAAAAATTTTTGTTTCTGTGAGAAGTTTCATCTTTTCAATTGTGAGAAATTAAATATAAAAATATTGAATATTAAACACTTTGAAAACACAGCAGAGAATATAGGCTAGAGCTTCAGTTAATTTGGGAATATACTTGGGTCCTCCAAACAAAAGAAGAGCCCAGAGGCCAAGTGATTTCCCAATGCAGGGCAAAGCATCTGAATGCCATGGATTTAGGCAGGTAGGATTCAGAGGATGGGTACTGTGGGTTCAAGCAGGCAGGTAAAGTTCAGTTTGGGAGATCAGCAAAAAAGAACATAAACACAGTGCTAGGAAAAAGGGTCACAGTCTACGATCTCAGTGGGAAAAATGCAAGTGAAAACTCTTTCTTGATGAGGCAGAAACAGAGGCAGTTACAAACAACTGTCCTGGTTGAATTACTCACAAGTTAATATGAATTCATTGGCTTAAGCAAGGTTGACTTGGATTTTAAAGCTGTCTTAAGCAATCAATTGTAGGGACAATCAGATGAATGAGGAAGGAAAACATGATAAGCCAGTAAATAATTTTAATACTTTTAAAACACTTAACATATTTAAAAAACTCTAAATCTTGAGATGTCAGTAAAGCTAACTGGAATTCCTGACTTTGTAGTGCTTTTTTAAAATATCTCAGAAAGAGTATCTGGGAAACTATTTCAATCTGCTCGAGACAGTTTTCCTAAGACTTACCTGGCAAGAACTATTTCATGTTTCTCATTTCTTTCCCTCCGATCCTTCAGTGGAATTGTGATACTGGTGATCTGGATATAGATTTGATATAATTGAGCCTAGGAGAATCCCACTGAAAAGATCTAACTTCTGGTTATCTACCAAGCAAGTTTCTTTGAGTAGCCATACTAATATTGATATCAGTGTATTCTATAATAAGGAAGGGAACTAACATAATACTGAGTGCTATGTGAGGTTATCAGCTCTATTGACTCTTCACTACATTTGTCACCAAATGAGCTGAGTTCAGATACAGTCTGGGCTTAAGCCTATTAGGCTTACAAGCTAATCATAGAGAAATAAGGAAGAAAATAATCATAGCATGATGTAATATAAGCAATAATGAAACTATTATAGGGGTGATAGAATAGAGAAGGGAGTTAATTTTCTGTGTGTATGTGAAGGTTGTGGG